AGATTAAGAGTCGCATGGAACCACCGAATGTAAAGGTGTTACTTGGCCGCTTCTTCGACTTGACTTAAGTAAGTCGGCGCGAAGCAAGAAGCTGACTTGAAAACGGCCATGTCGGCCTTTGCGTTTCATTGATGCTCAGGCCGTCTTGCTTGGTCAAGTCAAGAATGACCTTCAATGCAGAAGCACGTTCTCGCCTGTTATCGAGGTTAATAATGAAGTTGTGTGCGTAAGGCACGTGTCAAAGCCAAAAAAGTTCGTATATTTCAAAATACTCTTCTGCTCAAAGTGCTAAGAGCACATTTTTTTGTTTTACGGCTACAGAATGCCACATCTCGCCCACCGTGATGCCCGCCGCGCTGCGATGCGCAGTGTTGCTTGCGGAAAGCGTCCTTGTTTATCTGTTTTCAGTGATTGCCCAAAGGGAGTGCGTTTCTCCAGCTGTTCATCATTCATCGTATTTTGCTGTCGAACGCAGCGGGGTGTATATGCCCATCTATGGGTCGCAACTGTTAACAAAGCATAGTGATTTCTCGTCATACTCGCATTTCTATTCGCCTCTGGACATGCCTGTGTCGGGCCACGTAGTAGTTATACCTGAATAAAAAAAAGCAACAAGTACTAGAAACGCAGCGTACAAAGACCCTGTGCACACCCATGAGGGTGTCCTAACATGACAAAAAAGCTAAATAAAATCGGAGGTGCTAACGGTTTGTCTAAATTTATTGAGAAGAGAAAAAATGCAGATGAGGATCGCGGGCTTCTGCGGCACTTTTTTGTTCTAGAGGGGAGGGGTCGTAATAGCAATATTTATCTACTTTTCTTTTCGTGTCTGCATTGTCATTAGCAGGATTTACAGCAGAGAGCATATGTGTTATAAATCCAGGGTTTGGTATTATGAAGAATGCCATATGGGAGGGCCCCGGAAATTTCGACCACCTGGTGTTCATCGTTCATAGATACGGGACAATATAAGGCCATGAGCATTTTCTCTCCACCAAAATGCGACCACCGGGGTGGACGGGGGGGATACAAATTTGTTTTGCGTGTTAGTGAGGGGCAGGGGGAAGGCACGATATCGGTCAGCCTTAGGATGTCTGCTGGAAGCTTTGCCAAGAACAATGAAAAGGGAACAGGCCTGCGAGGTGAACGAAGGGTTCATTCGCCCTTTTGTATTGCATAGCTACGAGGAAATAAAAAAAAACATTCGTGTTTCTAGCAAAAAACTTGTTCTATAGTCAGTGGAGAAACCCCGAGTAGGAGCACCTTTTTTTGATAAATTTTTGAAGCTTTGTGCTGCAGATGTCTGGCATTTTTTCAACCCCACATGGCTGCACCAAACGAGACAAAAATTCCTGAAATTTCTGCTAGGAAATGACTTTTGGGGAAAGCAAGGCCTACCACCGCAGTGCGTCACTTTTCTAAGCGATATATTTCGAGCCGAGAAGGAAAGACTATTCGCTCCGATATGTCGCTGCAAAGTATGCTATTGTCCCAGGAGACACCTCAACGCAGGGCAAAACCACGCTTCACCGAAGACAAAAATACGGTGCTTGTCCCTCTCGTGAGAGAGTTCAAGCACATCGTCGAGTACAAGAAAAGTGATGTAGTGTCGACAGCGAAAAAAAAAATTAATCATGGAAAGAAATTACCAAGCGCTACAATTCCAATCATGGAATGACCCGGCGCGACCACCTGCAGCTCAAGAAGTGCTGGAATAAACAGAAGCAAAAATGGAAAGCGGAAACTGCCAGAGATAAGAGAGAGTGCCATAAAACTGGTAAGCTGAACATGTTATGCATCACTGGCTGACTTTTGATCTGCCACATGTTTTGTAGTCGGTAGAAATGCGAGTGCTGAAAGCATATAGTCATGACCATTAGATTTTGCAGTGCATGGCGAAATAAGTAACCACTTAAAATAGCATTTTCCTCAAAGAACGGTCTTTAAGTTGGCCTATAAAATGCATGATCAGTGCAAAGTGTTGTAGTGCCATCATCACCATCATCATTTCTCAATCACCGCGCCGCGCCTCTCGCGCAGCTGATGCTAGCTCGAGGATTAGAACGAGCTCACGCACCTGGCGCGTCGGACGTGGACAGCAACCGCGGCTCGGCTTCGGGCGTGGAATAAAGTGGCGCGATCGGCACGGCCCCGTCGGCTGCCTTCAACGCCGTCTCACGTCTCTCTTCTCTCGCCGCTACATTGGTGACCCGGAGAACACGCCCTTCGCCGAGCGGCCCGCGGCCATGTTCCCGCAACTCTGCCCGCCAGTGCCACCGTTCCAATCGACCTACCCCAAGGTATGGTTCATGCAGCTCGATGCCGTTCTTGCGCTGAATGGCGTCACGGACCAGCCGCTGATGCAAGCCATTCTTCATGACGCCCTTCCGGTAGAGTTGCGTCATAACTCTGCCACTTCAACCTCCAGCCAGCAGCATTACGATGACCTCTGCTCTGCGGTGCTTGCCAGCTTTGGCCTCACCTACCACCCGCTGCCGTTTACCCGCGACTTTAAGGTTTTCCCTGCGTCGCAGCCTGCTGGACCCTCCGGCCCGAAGCTCTCATCTAACCGCAACCTAACTTTTCCGACAACGTCTCCCTCCACCTTTGGTCCGGCCACTAGCGCAGTGATCCTCGCACCCGGTCACAGATCCGACGAGGTTCTTGAAGTCGTTCCTGCTGCCGACAACCTGTCCACCACGAAGTGCGTTTTTTCGAAGTCCTCGGCCGATGGTCCTTCTGGAACGCTTGCTACCTGCACGTTTTCCACGAAAGCGACGGCACGCGACAACGTGGCCCCACCAGACTTCATGACGACCACCTTGCCGCCCGCCTCGAATTCTGGCACAGGTGACCTTTCGCCCGTTATTGACTTCCCGACCTCGAAGCTTTCGCCTTCAACAACGTCCGATAAACGAGACTTAACCTCTCGTCTGGCCACTAGCGACGCGTGTCCTGCGCCCGACTGCCCATCCGCCAAGGTTTCCGACATTTGGGTTGAATGCAACCAGTCAGCAACGAGGTTTGTGTTTTCATCGTCCTCGGCCGACGACGCTGCAGGCATGCTTACCACCGGCTCGTCTCGGCCGACCTCCATGGCTCACAACACGGCTGACACGTCAGGTTCTACGACGGCAACATCACCGAACGCCCTGGTGGCTACCATGACTATGGGCATTGTCACCCCCGCAATTTACCTCCCGGTTGCGGAACCTTCACCCTCCCCGATGTCCGAAGGCGACTGCCGACCAGCCTCAATGCTCTGCACGTCCTGCCAGCAACGACCGCCATCGTCCTTGCAGTTTCCCGCAGCTGAAGTTAAAGCCACCAGCCATCAACCACGGCCAAGCTTCCAAGACGCTGCGACTATGACTGACGCGCTTAAGGACGACGTGCCCGGTCCACTTCAGGCAGGGCTCACCAAGCATACCACGCCTGTGGTGGAGCAATCTAGGGGGTGTCGGCTAGAGACAGCCATCAATTATACAGACCTGCACGCCAACCCTCGTGCGCGGACTACCGGAAGTCATTACACGAGCACAGGTGTCCCGTCCAATACTCCGGGCGAGCCCACGCTGACTGGTTTCCACCACCACCATTCCCCGGAGCCTTTGCCTCCGGACGGCAACAACCAGACGTGTGTCCACAACGCCAGCTCGTGTCTCACAACCGCGACGACGCTCATACCTCATACGTGACTAGCACCCATTACCTTACGTCGGCGACGACAACGTGCTTGGCGTCACACAGTGAAGCAACTTTTGAGCCGCCCTGCTACGCAGCCACGAGTTGCAGTCACAGCCCTGAAGACGGCGCAAGCGCCTACTCGGCCTATCCAACGCAATGTCCCCCCAGTAGTCGTGTACCCGACTACCCACCGTACACTTGGCGGCATTGTTAAGACACGTTCCTGCGTGCGTCGGCACGTCTATCTATACCGGCACGTCAGACGCCGCTCGACTTTGAGGTCTGTGTTGCGTGGACCCCAACGTCAAAACCCGCACTGCCGACCATCTGCCGACGTTAGCAGCATGACATCGCGACACACTGTCCACTCTCGGCCTGCCCGACCAGGCCGCCGGAGCTGCTGGAAGTAGCACTTCTGCAGCAGCTGTTGCTGCTCAAGTATGCAGGACACCTAGGGGCCGGATGGCTGTTCTGAAAAAGACGCTGGCCGCGGAAAACGCAACCGGTGCGGAATTACTTAAAAAACACACACACAGTCCATGTCCGGCTTTTGCAGGAGGAACACGATTATATGATGCTGGAACGGGTCGAAAAAATAATGCATGAAAATAAAGTGCGAGAGCTCGAGCTTTTAAGGCACAAAAACGAGCATGAAAAGCAAAAAAAATTGAGATTGAAATACTACAGATTGAAAAAGAAATAAAAAAGAACAGCTCCGCAGGCTGCAATGTAATGTGCCTCATTTGTAAATAAATGATGGGATCTCTCATAAATATATCAAACCATGTGAGTGTACATTTTTATGCATGAATGATAAGCATATGGGCGTGTTCAGCAGCCCTAAAAAGAGGATGTAAGGCCGAGTTCTCTATATATGCAATTTTTGTCTCTGTGAAGCTCTTGCGTATGAGCAGGTACCACGCTTGATTTCTTGATCGGCTGTCGGCGAGGCGATCAACAGGTGGCAGGTGCACTGTTCTCGTTGCCACTGTACTGATGGGGAAGGCTGTGGAAACGTTGAAGCGGGTGGCTTTGGTTCCCTTAATAAGCAGGCCAAGTTGTGGAGGAGCACAAGGTGTGATTATGTGCATGATCTTTTTGGCTTTGTGCTGCATTCCCATGTTGTGGCAAGGAAACGCCTTTTCCACATGCTGAACGCCCTCTAAACGACTTTCCGAGTCTTTATTTGGGCTTTTTGGTAGCTGGGCGAATGAAGCAATATTGTACATCACCCCACAAGCGACTTGATTCAATGTCACACCACAAAACCATGCTGCAACTTTCTGTGACCATGCACTGACACGTGAACTAACCTTCCTTTGGGTGTGTCAGTAAGGCCTGGTTCTGAAAACGATGAGAATAAATATGGCTGGCATGCGTATCCAGCATCGCCCAACAGCACTCCGGGCACCCGGTTTTCTTCGTACAGCACCCGCAAGCGAGAGTTGTCAAAAATCCTGCTGTCCTGAACAGAGCCGGGCCAGCCTGCAACAATGTCGAAGAACTGGAGTTGTGGTCCAGCCACCACCTGTAGCAAAGCAGCAGCATACCAATAATCATAAACATGGTATTGTACAGCGCCTATCTCTTCGCTGTCCGGTATAACTACAGGCGCAGCAGAAATGCATGTTGTTGCGCTGAGTCACGGTCCACCAGTGTATCTTGATGAAAATAGAGACGGTAGTGTTCCTTTAAAACCTTCACGAAAGCTACCTTCCGGAGCAAAACCTCGATTCCAGCAAAACACGTCTGAAAGTGCGAGTGCCGGGCCCCTCGAATAATTGCTGCATTATGATTTCGCTGTATTTATTTCGCTAGTGCATGACAACCATGGCTGAACAGAAGCACTTTGATTAATGTATGGAAAAGTTTACGACCCGAGCATGAATCGAAAAAATACGAACGAACTAAACTGTTCAGAGACTTTCAAACTTCACTGCTTACCTGCACACTGAAGGAGAAATAGCCTTTGCGGTTGCGGAACACTTCGGTACGTTCACCACCGGGGCTTTTAATCCGCACGTGCGTGTGGTATATACATCCCGTCATGCCAGGGAATTCGGCCACTTCATAGAAGTCCTGCATAGCTTGTTGAAATTCCGGCGGCTGCGGAAAGCGCACCAGTAAGGAGTACAAGTGCTTTGCGATCAGCGTGGTCACTTTTCCGACTGCACGGCACACTTTAGACTGCGGAATGTGGACGAGGTCCCCGATTCTGTTTGAAATGTCCCAGTGCCGTAAAATCTCAATGCCATCGACAGCTGCTGCATAGGAGGCACATGCTGACCTCGATTGTCCCGGCTTTCTTGGAGCGGCAGCATATATAAGCTGCCGCACTGCGTGCTTCGTGAACCGGTAGCGAGCGTGGAAATGTTCCTCGTCATACAGCTCCATAGGATTTCCCCGGTCTCGAAGGGTGGGTCGTGGAATCTTCGGCAGGTAATGTGCCTCCGAAAACACAACATCCATGGCGTGGCATGCGAACTCAAAAGCGGCCAACCTCCGCGCGACGTCCATTCGAAAGATGGCCATGTTGGAATAACGCACGAAGTCGCTTTCAAGCTAGCCCTACAGCTGACTTGAAACTTGTCCTGACTTCGACAAAGCCAAGTTGCCTTCAATTCGTCCGCAAGTTCGAGAACGATTTATGGTGACCGGCAAGACTGTCTCGAGTCAAGAACGAGTCAAGTGACATCTCTGCGTTCGGGGGTTAGCCCTTCATAAACATAGTAGCGGACGTTGCAGGCTCCGTAACCGCACTTTGTAGCGGCAGGTGCGGGTTATATTCTGGACTCGGTAACACGAGACAAAAACGGCATCTTTACATCAACTTAACATCTTCATGCGCAGCTGGGCGCACCCTTCGAGCCGAGGAAGATTGCAGTCCGCCTTGGCCCTATTGCTCGCTTTGCTCTGCAGTCGTACTCCGGATTCTTCTAAGGAGTATGTACTCGGTAACGTTAGCGTCCGTTTTATCACACAGTCGCACGATTCGATCACCTAAATACGCGCTAAAATCTAGAGTTTTAGTGAGAAAAGCCAAATGTCTTACAGGAAAAACAAACCCACCGGTGATTTTTTGGTTTCTGGTATATGAAGTTTTCAATATAAATTGATGGGAGAAGTTTTCAATGTATAAAACTTCAATGCGTAAATTTTAACTTGTATTTGATGTATCTAATGAAGTTCCACCAGTTAGCGCTTATGTCTTCAAAGAAGTCCGATTCGGCGATGATTCAATACACCCGAGTAAGCACAGTCGAGTATGACTGTAACACATTATTCGCGTGCGCCGCATGAAGTCCCTGGTGGCATCCCTTGTGGTGCCCTTCCTCGACATGACGGATCGGCGCAAGTTGCTTGTTCTCTCCAGCGTGGTCTGCTCGGGTAGCTTGGTCACGTTGGGCCTGGTCTACTACCCCACCTTCCCAGCAGTGACCAGTGGCGCCGACACGACTTCGCCGGATGCATCAGAATCTTTAGTACCACTCGCCACCGCTTCCACTATACACCAGTCAAATGCTGCAACGTTCACCGTACAGGTGGGCGCAGTTACGGAACGAGTGGTCTACATTTCAAAAGAAGTCTTATACTTCTTTATCCTAGCTTTAATTCACAGAGAGTGGTCATTCGAGAGCCTTCAGTTCGTATTTTCCTAACTATTGTCCGTATTAGTAGGACGTTGAGACACCCAAGAATGCATATGTGATATGCAGTTCTATTGTTTATGTCTATTCACGTTTTATTGTATATGTTCATTGTTTTTGTTTATTTATGTGTTTCTTTATTCTTTTTTCCAGCTGCGATTGAGCTTTGGAACGCGTTGCCAGGCATTGTAGTAAATGCGAGCGATCTTTACCTATTCGAAAAATTGTTGTACATGTAGTTGAGTGATTGAGCTGCCAGATGATAAGCATGCATGTGTCCTTGGTTTGAGTTTCTTCGTTTTCTTTTTTCCTAGCTTTGATTAAGCCTTGAAATGCGTAGCGAGGCATCGCTGTAAATGCACGTAGTGTTTGCCAATTTGATAAAGTGTTGCACATGTATTATTTGATTGCGATGTCACCAGACATAGCTGTATATTGGTTGGTTTGTATTTGGTTGTACTTTCCCTGTAAAAGCCCTCCATAGATGGCTGACAGTATTATGAAGTAAAATAAATAAGTAAATAAACTATCCTTGAAGATAGGATTATATCGATGCTTAACGAAATATATCAATGTTTAACAAATGACAGAACTAACCAAATACGTTACTATATACCCTTGGAGGCTGATAGAAAAATTAAGGTGAAGTCCTCTCACACGAATCGCGGTACCAAATGTCAAGAATTACTTTTCCCTGCGTTTTAGGTGTTTTAGCATAAAGCGATGTTAACATTGATGCATGTTGTAGGTCTGAGCTTCTGGCATTTTCCTAATGAATCCTATGTCTGGTCTTTCAAATGTGGAGTGGCCTTTCATGAAGCATTCCGAGTGCTTATTTTGTTTCAAACGATGATGACTCTGCAATACTTAATGTTTTTCACTTCTTATTCCGCAAAATGTGTGGACTGCGCCTGTCGAGCCTTTTCTTCCCATGCCCTCTGCTCTCTGAAGTAGTGAATGAATGAAATAGAAATGAATCGGTTGTACGAAATATGTTGAGAAATTTTGAGTTACTCTTACCAACAAAAAGGTTGCAGTGCCACGGTTATGTACTATAGGTTGGCTCTGATTTTGTACATGTGTTTAAAATGAATGCCTGATATGTAATTTTTTTGAATGACTAGTAAGTATTCTAATGATATTGCCTATTAGCCAGAAAGATATATCATAGGATTTTGTACTTTTTTATAGAATGTTTGTTTGTTTGAACCATCATTGACATTTAATCATTAACCATCTCCATATTTCCTTAGAAAACAACTTCGCACCGAAGAAAACCTCTGCAGGTGAATCGATCAAATTATGGTTACATGCAAGAATGACGGCTCTGTTGACCCGCAGCTCGCCGCATTGAATCCCGGCCGTGGCGGCCACATCTCCGATTGAGGCGAAAATGCGCGAGGCTCGGGTGCCATTAAAAAACCCTAAGAGGTCGAAATTTCCTGAGCCCTCTATCACGGCGTCTCTCAAAATTAAATGGCGACTTTCGGACGTTAGACCCCGACAACCATTTTTACTAGGATTGACGGCTTTGTCAATCAAGCTTTCATGAACAAAAATGTTATTAGAATTAGGCATATGCCAATGTAAACAATACTGGACGTATAATGTCAGATAGGAGGGCCAAACAATTTCGAAATTGCGGAGTGTATACATGAATTAGATATAAACCAGTGAGGCCAAGATATGACTTGCCATTCTTCGTAATATGAACAAAGTTAAGACCAAGAACTAAAACACACCACACAAGCTCTGATCACCGTCTGTGTAGTGTGTGACTCTCCATGTTTTTTTTTTTTTTAATGCGATGCATCCTTCAATAAACTTCGGTGACTTTGACCGTATCTGTCTATCTATCTGTCTATCTAGCCACCTACTACTTTAGCTCTCGTGGCCGTTTCGATACGTGGATCTATACAGAGATTGGTATGGCATAACAAGACTATATGACGAGCATAGGTACCTAGTAAAAACATGAAAATCTTGATGCGTATGTCATGAATTCCATGATATACATGTGATTGTCTTGCTGCTCTTGCGGTGCTTTCGTTCACATGACATATTGCAAAACTGGTATGGCATCACATGACTGCATAGCGAACATAAGTGACAGGCACTTACGCGGAAATGATGACATGCATGTCATGTAAGTCATGACTACTCGCCACGCTTACGCTGCGCCTGCGGCCGTTTTGCTAGCTTCACTTGTGCCGAATTCGGTGTTACGTGACGTGAATAGATGACGAAGATATATCACTTGCGCAAATACGATAATCAAGACAGGTGTGTCATGTAAGAACATGAGAACATACCACGTTCATGATGCGCTCGCGGCCATTTTGCCTGTTTCCCATGTATCAAATTTGCTATTACGTGACCTGAATGAACCACGAAGGTAAATGTACGGCTAAAGATGATAATCATGATATGCGTGTCACGTAAGAACATGACTGCACACCACTCTTACGACGCGCTCGTTGTGGTTTCGCTAGCTTCACATATACCAAATTTAGCATTACGTGACGGGAATAGACGACGAACACAAATGCCAGGCATAAGCACGATAATCATGACATGGAAGTCATGTAAGGCATAATTTACGTTCACCTCGTGACGTAGGGCAGATTTTAAAGTGACATACCAACATTCCTCATTCATGCTTCGCATATCATTGATTCCTACTGTTCGTAAGATCTGTAAGTTTTTTTTCTCTCTCTTGCTGTATGCTCAAGACCAAAATAAAGAAGTTTCAAATAAACTGACCAGCAATTTTGTTTTAGGGACTCAGGAGGCTATTGTTCTTATGCAGGGCAACTAGGTGTCATCATTGAAAACTCTAAATAACACATGATTTTGCGTGGCATAAGCTGTACCTACATTGGTGCATACTTGTTGACCTTGGCCCACAGTGATCAAGACCAGCATTAGTTACATCATGAATGTGGTAATAACTTGCTTTACGTTAACAGCTTGAAACGTCATCTAGAGGGCAAGACTTGGATCCCATGACAGCAACTTCATTAAAAAAATTATCTTGATGATGAAATCATCAATTTCAGTGATATTGATCATAAAATTGAGCTAAACAGCAGAATTCTTATGTGTAAGCCTGCATTATGTCAGTTGTTTCTAGTCTGATTTGCTCATGGTTAGAATATAAATAAAGAAGCAATGCACAAGTCAGATGGGCAGTGCCCCATAACACATGGAGAAAGAACAACTAAACAAGCACTTTCTCCCCTCCTCCATCAAGTGAACAAATGGGCGAAGCGGGAACCATTCAATACTTTCGCTGGACCGCCATTTAAAATTGGCCTGAATTTACATGTTACACTGTAAATGTCGTCGAAAGACGATAATATTGCATCTGGAGAGAGTGAAGAAAACGTTTATTTGATGTTCTGCGCAAGAAATTTGGTGAATGGTATTCTGAAGGCG